TTTCAGGGCATCTCTGGCGGCTGCTGTGATTTGACCCCCTTCCTCCAGTCCCCCTCCCTCCAGCCCCCCTCCCTCCAGCCTTCCTCCCTCTAGCCGTTGCACAAGTTCCGCAGCACAGCTCAGCTCGGAGGCTACACTGGGCCACAGGGGTGGGGGCCTCTGACTACCACCCTGTCCCAGTCTTGCCTCTGTCCCCACAGTGGGATCCTCCCACTTCAGTCTCCAGCTGCCTGGTTCCCCTCCCAAGGCAGCCTCGTACTCACTGTGGGGCCGGGGAGAGGCCAGCAGCCCCTGGGGCCCTAGAGTACAACAGGACAGGGACAGGGTGGTGTGAGGCAGACCCCCTCGGAGGGTGCTGGGGTAAAGGCCTGGACAACAGTTCATGGTTGCCATTCCTCCCAGGACACACGATCTGAGCCCTCAAAGGACCTGACAGGACAGACGCGTCCTCATTCCCGGAATCCCAGCGTTCTGGGAGGCCGAGGTGGGAGGATTGCTTGAGCCCAGGAGTTTGAAATCAGCCTGGACAACATAGCAAGACTCTGTCTCTACAAAAAATTTTTAAAAATTAACCAGGCATGGTGATGCACACCCATAGACCCAGCTACTTGGGAGGCTGAGGTGGGAGCATTGCTTGAACCCAGGAGATTGAGGCAGCAGTGAACCGTGACTGCACCACTGCACTCCAGTCTGGGCAACAGAGCAAGACCCTGTCTCAAAAAAAAAAAAAACAAAAACCAAGAAACAAAAACCCCCACACAAAAAAGCAAACTTGGCTGGGCACGATGGCTCACGCCTGGAATCCAAGCACTTTGGGAGGCCGAGGCTTGTGGATCATCTGAAGTCAGGAGTTCAAGACCAGCCTGGCCAACATGGGAAAACCCCATCTCTACTAAAAATACAAAAATTAGCTGGGCGTGGTGGCAGGCGCCTATAATCTCAGCTACTCGGGAGGCTGAGACAGGAGAATCGCTTGGACCCGGGAGGTGGAGGTTGCAGTGAGCCGAGATCACACCACTTGATCCTGACTCCCAAAGGGCTGGGATTGCAGCCTGGGCGATAGTGCAAGACTCCTTCTCAGAAAACAAACAAACAAACAAACAAACAAACCAAGCCTGACCTGCACTGAGATCTCCAGGACGTCACACTGGGCATGAGGGCTGGGTCTGTCCATGCCTGGGACCACCCAAAGTCCTTTGCAGCAGAGCGGCCATCTGGTTGGGGTGAAGCTGATGGAGCCTGCCACTGTGGCTGAGAGTGGGGTGTTGGCTGGGGGTCAGGGTGACCCTGCAGGGCCATCCCAGCCTGGCTGACGCCCAACATGGGCTGGTGTAGAAGGAACCTGGCCCCGAGGCTCCAGGCCCTGGCTAGAGGAAGCAGGGACTCTTCAGGCTGGGTCCTCTCGTCTTCCTGGAGCGGGTGCCAGCCCCCAGCCTGCTTGCGTCAGGGACAAAAGGACTCCTTTCCTTTCCAGCCTGGAAAGCCCCTCTGCTGCAGCCTGGAGGAAGGGACCCCGGGCCTAGCCTATAGTCAGAGGCGTCTATGGGCATGGATCCGGACAGGGAAAAGGAGAAAGCAGCCTCCATCCACAGTTCACTCTGGGACCAGGCCCTTGCAGGCACGCGCTGGGCTCCTGTGGGAAGGCTAAGGGCCCCAGGACAGACCTCCTCTCCGGGCGTCTGGGTTCCTAGATGGCAGAGGTGGCAGAGTGGGGTGGGGTGGCCCGATTGGGAGCCGTAGCCTCTGGCGAAGAGCTGAGCACAGCACATCTGCAATGTGTAAGATTCTCCTGGGAGACCAGGGCCCAGCTGGTGGTGAGCTGGGGGAAGTGGGTGATCCTGCGGTGGGAGGAGCCATCTGGCCGTCTGGGGAAGTGTGCTTGCTGTCTGCAGCGCCCAGGCCTGGGTAGCTGGGTGGGGGCTGGGGGGCCATCTCCGCTCAGGGTGCCCGCACCTGGGCCTTCCCTGCCCTAGGCCAAGCCTGCCTGTGCCTCCCCATCCTCTGCCTGCCCAGCTGGACATCTCTGGGCCTCTCTGGAGACCAGTGGGGTGGGCTGGGGGGGCGTTGTATTGGCCTGGCTTGGCACCCCTCTTGTGGCTGTACCCCTCCCAGCAGCCCCAGGACTAGCAAGTCCCCGAGATGGGGGTGGGGACAGTGGTTGATGCCAAAGGTTGTGGGGGCAGGGGCGGGGCAGGAGCAGGAAGGTCCCCTGAGTTCCCTCACCTTGGGCAGAGATAAAAGGAGCACAGTTCCAGGCGGGGCTGAGCCAGGGCGCAGCTGTGATTTCAGGGCATCTCTGGCGGCTGCTGTGATTTGAGAATCTCGGGTGTCTTAGCTGACTGATTCTGGGAGACCGTGGATGAATAATGCTGGTGAGTGTCTGGCCCTGGGGAAAGCCCGGCTGGGGAGAGCTAGGCAGTCTGGGAGGGGAGGATGGGGGTGACGCTGAGTGGGGCGGTTGGGTGTCCCTGAGCCCAAGTGACAGAGCTTCCCCTCCCTTGTGCTGCTGCAGGGCACGGCCCCACCCGGAGGCTGCGGGGCTTGGGGGGCCTGGCCGGGGTGGCTCTGCTCGCTGCCTTCTGGCTCCTGTGGCTGCTGGGGTCAGCCCCTCGGGGTACCCCGGCACCCCAGCCCACAATCACCATCCTTGTCTGGCACTGGCCCTTCACTGACCAGCCCCCAGAGCTGCCGGGCGACACCTGCACCCGCTACGGCATCACCCGCTGCCACCTGAGTGCCAACCGAAGCCTGCTGGCCAGCGCCGACGCTGTGGTCTTCCACCACCGCGAGCTGCAGACCCGGCGGTCCCACCTGCCCCTGGCCCAGCGGCCACAAGGACAGCCCTGGGTGTGGGCCTCCATGGAGTCACCTAGCCACACCCACGGCCTCAGCCGCCTCCGAGGCATCTTCAACTGGGTGCTGAGCTACCGGCGTGACTCGGACATCTTTGTGCCCTATGGCCGCCTGGAGCCCCACTCGGGGCCCTTGCCACCACTGCCAACCAAGAGCAGGGTGGCCGCCTGGGTGGTCAGCAACTTCCAGGAGCGGCAGCTGCGTGCCAGGCTGTACCGGCAGCTGGTGCCTCACCTGCGGGTGGACGTCTTTGGCCGTGCCAATGGACGGCCGCTGTGCACCAGCTGCCTGGTGCCCACCGTGGCCCGGTACCGCTTCTACCTGTCCTTTGAGAACTCTCAGCACCGTGACTACATTACAGAGAAATTCTGGCGCAATGCACTTGTGGCTGGCACTGTGCCGGTGGTGCTGGGGCCCCCACGGGCCACCTACGAGGCCTTCGCGCCGGCCGACGCCTTTGTACATGTGGATGACTTTGGCTCAGCCCAAGAGCTGGCGGCTTTCCTCACCGGCATGAATGAGAGCCGATACCGACGCTTCTTTGCCTGGCGTGACAGGCTGCGCGTGCGACTCTTCACTGACTGGCGGGAGCGCTTCTGTGCCATCTGTGACCGCTACCCGCACCTGCCCCGCAACCAGGTCTATGAGGACCTTGAGGGCTGGTTTCAGGCCTGAGCTCTGCTGGCCGGGGGAGGTGGGTGTGGGTGGAAGGGCTGGGTGTCGAAATCAAACCACCAGGCATCCGGCCCTTACTGGCAAGCAGCGGGCTAACAGGAGGCTGGGGACAGAGGTCAGGAAGCAGGGGTGGGGGGTGCAGGTAGGCACTGGAGCAGGCAGAGGAGGTGAGAGCAGGAGGGAGGTAACGGGTGCCCACTGCGGCAGACGAGAGGGGAAAGGCTGAGGAGGACCCTCTCCACCCTGAACAAATCTTGGGTGGGTCAAGGCCTCGCTGGAAGAGGGTAAAAGGCAGGGCCCTTGGGGCTGGGGACACCCCAGGCTGCATTTTGTGGGGGCCAAACCTGGGACCCCAAACTTCCTCTGTAGCAGAGGCACTGTGGTCCCTGGGACACAGGCACGGGTCCCTGGCACATCCACAGTTCTGAGGTCCCTGTGTGTAGGCTGGGGCGGGGCCCAGGAGACCAAGGGGAGCAAACCAGCTTGTTCTGGGTTTAGGGAGGGAGGGCGGTAGACAATAAAGGTCTGACCAGTGCCTCGTGGGTCACCTCCGTGCAGGGCCACAGAACCTGTGTCTGCCCTCCCTGACATGTCGCCCCCACGGCCATGGGGCTGCTTGTTCCCCACCGGGGATCCTGTCTCCTGACCTCGGGGCTTTTGCTTACCCTCCATCTGAGAGCTCTCCCTGTGCCGGGCTACCCGCTGGCTCCTCCAGCTCCTACAGCCTCCACCAAACAGCCCCTTATCAGAGAGCCTTCCGTGGCCTCCAAAAGGCCAAGGCGATGAGCCCAAGAATTCAAGACCAGCCTGGGCAGTGTAGTGAAACCTCATCTCTACCCAAAATACAAGAATTAGCAGGACGTGGTGGGTCACGCCTGTGGTCCCACCTACTTGGGATACTGAGGTGAGAGGATGGCTTGAGCCCAGGAGGTTGAAGCTTCAGTGAACCGTGATCACACCATGGCACTCCAGCCTAGGCAACAGAATGAGATCCTGTCTCAAAACAAAAACCAGAAACAGGCCAAGGTTGGGGAAGGGTAGGGAACGGACTTCAGAGGACTAGCCAGGCTGAAAGCGTCCATCTGCCAAGTCCGCAGGCTGGAGAATGTCTTGGGTGACAGGGTCTGACCTGTGCCCTGGAGCTCCCTCTGGTGGCAAGTGCTGGGGAGGCACTGGGGATGCGGCTGCAGCCAGGGAGCCCCTGGAGTGGCCGGTGGGGAGTGGGGCGAGGAGGAGGGAGGCCAACCCATGGGTGGTGCTGACCAGGGACTCAACAGGCCAAGCCCCCGGGGCTGGGGCACTGGGCTTGTCCCTACCCCAGGTCGGGGTGGGCAGGTTGAGGGCAGGAAGCCCCCCTCACCCATGGCTGTGGCTTGTAGGAAACACCTGCTAGTAGCTTCCTGCCCTGACCTAGCCCTGTGGACTAAGCAGGGAAAAGCAAGTGTCCTGAGGCTGCGGGCTGGGGTGGGACGCTGATCCTCATCCACCAGCCCAGGGTCACCTTCCTGCTGCAAAGGAGCTGGAAGTGGGGAGCTGTGGCCCCAGAGGTCTTTCACTTGAGGGTGAGCCTTCTATGTGCGCCCAGACACTGGACACCACACAGCCCTACTTCACCCCATTCACAGGTAGGGAAACTGAGGCTGGGAGGCGCCGTCAGAGCCACCCATGGGGCCAGCCTGCCCTCTGTCGCCCTCTGCAGGCCACGCGGAGGAACTGCCCCACCTCCCCGGGGCGCCCCGGCAGGTGCCAAGCTACAGCCGCAGAACCGCCTGACCCCGAACTCTCCGTGCAGAGAACAGACTTGCCCGGATACGGGGTGAAAAATGAGCCGCGTGCAGCAGGGGCAGTCTCGGTCCCCTGCCTGCTCCGCCCACGGCGAGCGTTCCTGGGGCCTCGGGTTTTCCCCCTTCCGCTGGCTGCTAGGAACCGCGGGACCGATCCACCAGGCCGCCCTGCCTCCCCTCCAGCTGGGCGCCACCTGGACTCCAAGTGCTGGTTTACAAGGCACACAGGAGACCTTTATGGGGGTGAGCTGGCGCCTCACCAGCGTCCGCTCGGCGCGCCCCGGGGACAGTGAAGGCTTGGGGCGCCTCTGCAGAGTCGCCAGCACGGTGGGCGCAGCCAGATGCCTCTGGGAGAAGAGCGCAGCGCCCGAGGGTCCCCTGGCCTACGAGGGCTGAGCCGGGGTCTCGGATTGGACGTGGGCGCGTCGCGTGACGCCCGGCGAGGGGCGGCCCGGAGGCTTCCCGGCGGCGGCGCGCGCAGGGTCTCGGGCCCGGGTCGGTCCCGGGCGCAGCGCGGGCGGCGGGCGCCTCCTGGCGGGCGCGGACGGAGCGCGGCGCCTTTAAGCGGGGGCGGGCGGGGCGCGGGCAGAGTCGCTGTCGCCGCGGCCGCCGGGGCGGAGCCAGCGCGGATCGGGTCCCGGACGCCCGAGCGCCCCGCCCCCGCGCGGGCGATGCCCAGCGGCGCGGCGGGCGGCGGGGCCCGGCGGGGCGCGCAGAGGAGCGGGCCGCGGCGCTGAGGCGGCGGAGCGCGGCCCCGCCATGGGCTTCCTGCACCAGCTGCAGCTGCTGCTCTGGAAGAACGTGACGCTCAAGCGCCGGAGCCCGGTGAGCCCACCCCACGCGCCCGCCCGCAGCCCGAGGCCGCGCGCACCGCGGCCAGCGTCGCGCTCCCCGCGCGCACGTGCGGACGGCCGGGCGCGCGCGGACCCCGGCGGGCGCTGGGGGCGGCGCGGGCCCGAGCCCCCTCCCCGCCGGGCCCTGCTCTCCGCTGCCGGCGCTGCGGCCTCCGGGGAGGTGGCTTGGTCGTGGCCAGCCCGGTCCCGCGTCCGCTGACATCGCAGTGCTCGGCTGAGTCACGGCACCCGTGCCTTCTGCAGCGCGCTCTCTGGGGCCGCTGTGGGCGGGGGTCAAGCGGCGCTAAGGACTCTGGCTCAAGGGAGGCCCTGGTTCCCAGGACAGAGGGCAGGCCTGGGGGGCTCCATCCAACTCTGAGGCTCCATGGTCCTTGGGCCCAGCCTCTCTGGGGCCCCAGCGGAGACCCTGTCCCTTCCCTCCCTCCGCCCCTCCCCTGCCCTTGGGCCGAGGCCTGCCATAGAGGTTGGTCCCAGGCATCTCTCCGCCTCCCCTCCCCCGCACCCCTCCTGGCACATCCATGACCCTTGCTCATGCTCTCGCCACTGGGAACGTCCTTGTGCTAGCCTCGGCCAGCCTGAATCTCTGCACCCCTTTGTCCTTTGGGGTTAGTTCTCCCTGAGCCTGATCCACTCTATTCCCTCCTGGTCCCCTACCTCCTCTGGGGGCTGGGTCTACAGTTTGGAGCTGTGACCACCAGGTTCCCAGCACTGCCTGGGCAGCCAGTGGACCTGAGGGTGCAGGACACACAGCCGTCAGGGACAGAAGTCCTGTGTGGAGCGAGGGGCTTGGGGGTATGGGTGTCCTGCCGTACCCCCAGCTGGCCAGCTTGGCTCCAGCCTGGGAAGGGAAGGGACACCTCCCAGGCCTCAGGCCTGGGCCAGCTTGGGTTTCTGAAAGCCCTTGGGATTGTCCAGGCCAGGGCCCAGAGCAGGTGGGGGCCTGAGGCGGACACATCCTCTTGCCCAGTCAGCGCCCGGGCGGGACCCCTTGGGCTGCACCAGTCCTTGCCTGTTTATCTTTCAACATGCACTGCAGGAAACCGAGGCTGCAGTCAGGTGGGGTGGCCATCATCACCATGGCTGGCAGGATTCCCCTGGGCACCTGGCCTTGGCAGGGAGCCTGGGTTAGGTACACGCCCTGGCCAGGCACCTGGAACTGGCTGAGTGCAGTCCCATGGATCAGGCCTGCAGTCCTTGGCATTGGGTCACTGGGGACAGCAAAGCAGGCCCAAGGGAACAGGGATGTGGCGTGTGGCATGCATTACTATTAGCCCCCGGAGGTTGCTGTCAGGAAGGTCCCCACTGGGCCTGGGAGCAGAGGCTGGAATGGTGGCCCCTGTTCCAGTGGGGACAATGCTCAGGGAAGGCAGTGTGGCCTATGAGGGCACCTGGCAAGCAGGTGGGAGGTGTGCACTGTCCTGACCGCAAGAGTGGCTCCCAGCTGCTAGTTTGGACTGCCCCCCAGGACCTTTCTGGGTCCCCACCCTACAGGGCTCCCAGAGGCCCACTGGGCTACAGTGGAGGTCCTTAGCCTGTGGCTGGAGCAGGTGGGGAACTGTTTCCCCCAGGGAGGCTGAGTCCTTGCCAGGCTTGTGATGTGGGGCTGGGGCTGGCTGGACACTGGGCACACTCCTACCAGGTCCCTGCTTTCCTGGGAAGGATCTTAGACATCAGAGCTGGACTCTTGGGGCCAGGCTTGGATGACAGAGGTTGGCCCTGCGTGCCATGCGCCCTGCTGGGGCAGGGGTGCACCCTGGGCAGAGCCCAGGGTCTGGTGGGTGGGTACCAAGGACCTCCGTGCTGCTAGCAGACTCCTCCAAGCTCTTTGCCTCAGTTCCCCTGTCTGTGTGACCTACCTCCTCTTAGCTGGACGTGGGTCTGCCCTTGGGCTACAGGCTGTTCTTGGTGAAGGGACAGGCTCACTGTCATGAAGTCACTGGGATGGCAGGTGGCAGTGCCACTTTCGGATCTCACCTGTTCTCCCCCCGACACAGTAGGCGAGAGCTACAGGGACGGGTCATGCCCAGAGAGGGCACCCAGGCCTCCAGGCGATGTGACGGCACTGGGCTGGTCTTGAGGGACGGAGCTTGGACCACCTGGAGGCACCCATGTGGGGCACCCAGGGCGTGCCAGACCTGTGCTGCCGCCTGTAACCAGATGCTCCTGTGGCGCCTGCCGCCCGCCAGCCAGGACTCTCCTCCTCCTCCCAGTAGCTCGTGCGAGGCCGTTGCTATAGCAATGGGGAAGGCAGCTGGGCCTGTTGCTGCAGTTACAGCGCCCGTAGCAGGCCGGGTGTGGGCAGGGCTGGCGCCCTGCGCTGTGACCCCTGCCTCTGACATTGCCCCAGTCCGGCAGCCACCCTCGCCCTGGTGCCTGTTGGTGCCCACAGTGCCTCGACGAGCCCCGGGCTCTATCCTGGCTCAGGGAATGGGTAGAGGCTGGCACAGGCTGGGGCGGGCATGGGGCACCCACAGCATGATGTTCCCGGCCACAGAGCCCTATTGTCCAAGCACAGTAAACACAGCAGCCGCCCCCACCCCAGGGACCGGGGGCTCGGCCCGGACCACACAGCACACTGGGGGCTCTGAAGGGTTTTGGGACGGGGATGAGGACAAAGGATGCCTCCGAGTTGGGTGCTCGCCCTTGAGGGCTCGCCCTCCGTCCTGTGGGTCTCAGAGAGGGCTGGTCTGCCAAGGACTCTCCTGAGAGTAGCTGGCCCAAGCTCCTCCTCCTCCCTGAGCTGGGGGCTGGGATACAAGAACCAGTGAAGTCCTTGGTTTTCAGGTGAAGTGAGCAAAGTGCTTCTTTCTCACTCCATGCAGGTCCTGCTAGGGCTCACCTTGGTGCCCACCCTGGGCTAGCAGGAGCTGACCTGGGGAAACTGAACTCCAAGGCCCAAGACTGGCTGCCCCGGGTCAGGGGAGGGAACAGGGCAGAAAGAGGTGCCTTTGGGCCGGGCGCAGTGGCTCACGCCTGTAATCCCAGCACTTTGGGAGGCCGAGGCAGGCGGATCACGAGATCAGGAGATCGAGACCATCCTGGCTAACATGGTGAAACCCCATCTCTACTAAAAATAGAAAAAATTAACCGGGTGTGGTGGCGGCCACCTGTAGTCCCAGCTACTTGGGAGGCTGAGGCAGGAGAATGGTGTGAACTCGGGGGGCGGAGCTTGCAGTGAGCTGAGATTGCACCACTGCACTCCAGCCTGGGCAACAGAGCAAGACTCCATCTCAAAACAAAACATACAAACAAAAAAGGTGCCTTTGCCTCAGGGACTGGGGCTGTCAGACCCCTTACCGGGTCTTCTCCGAGGCTCAGGGCCCTGGGCTCAGGCCAGGCGTCTCTGAACCAGGCCTCCTCATCTCCCCAGGCCCCTGTATTGGTGGGGAGGAAGGTGAACCCGGGACAGTGTGAGAACTGTAGGTGGGGCGAGTGGCTCAGATGGTCCTCAAGATTTTGCCCAGGTAGCCCTGGAGGTAGGGAGGAAGAAGATGAGCTGGGATATACATGGGTCAGAGTAGACCACAAGCTGGCCAATTCGTCACGGTAGGCCCTGAGGCTCCTCAGAGGGCAGGTAGGCCCACTGTGGGCTGGGGACCAGAAACCTGATTTGCTGAGCCAGACAATCCTTACCCTCAGTACCCTGGAAGGGGCTCAGACCTTCAGTGGTCCCGAAGGGCCTGTGCTCACCTTCCCTGGCCCCAGGGAGCATGTGGTCCTGGCTGGGCTGGGCTGGGCCGGTCCTGTGGGAGGCTGGGGAGGGCCTGGGCGAGCAGAGGTCTGTCCTGTCCCTCACTGGGCCCACCCTTTCCAGTGGGTCCTGGCCTTCGAGATCTTCATCCCCCTGGTGCTGTTCTTCATCCTGCTGGGGCTGCGGCAGAAGAAGCCCACCATCTCCGTGAAGGAAGGTGAGCGCGGCAGGAGGACCCGGGCACAGCTGGGGGAGCGCGGAGGGGGAGCCCTCCCGGCACCTCGCACGCCTGCGCTGTGTGTGCACATCTGCACATGGGCGTCCTGTTCCCAGAGTCCCTGAGGTGTGGTGCCTGCTCCTCTGTGCGGTCCTGGGCCGCGCCTCCTGGCTGGGCTATGGAGGTCGGGGCTGGCCTGTGGCCACGAATGATGATGCCAATGCCTGTTCCTGGTGATGTGGGCACTCACTGGTCTCCTCTGTTCTGTTTTGACCCCCCCACCCCCGCATGGTCTCTTGTCCTCGGCTGGCATGCAGTCTGTAAGTGAGCGGCCGCCTCCTCCTGGCTGGCCTGGGCAGCAGCTGCGGGGGGCCCACGGGCCGTCCTGGCTTGAGCGCCCTCCCCGCTTTCATTAACAGCCCTCCCAGGCCCCCTGCTGGCCTCAGGAACAGCTGGCTCCAGACGGGGGGTGGTGGGCAGTGAAGTGGGCTGTGGTAGGGAGTGAGAGGCTGGGCCACCTAAAGCCACAACTGTTGCCTAGGTCAAGCTGAGGCAGCATCTCTCTGCCTGGCCTTGCCTTCTAGGGGTGGGGCGTCTCGGCTTCTGGGCGGAGTCTGGGCTGAGGCTGGGCTGGTCTGGGCTGGCCTGGGCGGAGGCTCGGCTGGGCTGGGCTGGCCTGGGCTGAGGATGGGCTGGCCTGGGCTGGGGCTGGAGCGGCCTGGCTACTCTCCCTTCATACTCCTTCAGGCTCCTGCACTCACTCTGCTAACCAGCTGGCCAGAGGTCAGAGGTCACTGCCCAGAGGGGGTCCTATGTCCTCCCCGGGTCTCTGTAGGCAGTGCCACAGCTGAAATGTTTTCGGGGGGAGAGTGCCAGGGCACGTGGGCCTGCACTGGCCAAAGGGAAAGGAATGCTCTGGGAGTTATGGCAGAAGGGGTGGTGAGTGGCTCTTTGACCTCTGACCTGCTGGAGTCGTTTGCCCCAGAATGCTTAGCCTGTAGCCCAGCTGGGGCCAGGGCTCTGTGCTGCCTCCTCCCTAACGCTGCTTCTCCTTCCTGACTTTCTCTAAATTTCTCTTCTCGGCCTCTGTCTCCTTCCCCTTCTGGATTCCTCTCTCTCTCTCTCCCCTTTCACCCCCGACCCTGCCCTCTCCCGTGGGTCCGCCAGCCTTCTACACAGCGGCGCCCCTGACGTCCGCCGGCATTCTGCCTGTCATGCAGTCGCTGTGCCCGGACGGCCAGCGGGACGAGTTCGGCTTCCTGCAGTACGCCAACTCCACGTGAGTGCCCACCCGCCCCTCGGAGTACCCACCCCTCCCCAGCCCATCCAGTGAGTGACATCTGCCCTGGTGCAGGGTCACGCAGCTGCTCGAGCGCCTGGACCGTGTGGTGGAGGAAGGCAACCTGTTCGACCCAGCGCGGCCCAGCCTGGGCTCAGAGCTCGAGGCCCTGCGCCAGCATCTGGAGGCCCTCAGTGCGGGCCCAGGCACCTCGGGGAGCCACCTGGACAGAACCACAGGTGTGCCCTGTGCAGGGAAGTTGGGGGACAGGGCTGCGGGCCTAGCTCTGCTGTCACTGGGCTGAAACCCACATCCACCCTGGGCCCCTCCACCTGCCCTGAGCTCCCAGCCATACGCAGGCTGCAGTGGCAGAGCTGTGGTGTTGGGCTCGGCTCCGAGCCCATGTGGGACACCTTGCCAAGGTGCAGCGGCCTCTCAGCCTCGCCTTCCTGCCTGTCCAGTGTCTTCCTTCTCTCTGGACTCGGTGGCCAGAGACCCGCAGGAGCTCTGGCGTTTCCTGACGCAAAACCTGTCGCTGCCCAATAGCACAGCCCAAGCCCTCCTGGCCGCCCGTGTGGACCCTCCCGAGGTGAGGCAAGGACAGCTCCCAGCCCTGGCCACTCCCTTCTGCCCCCGCCATGACCCCTGGTTGCTGAGCCATCCTCAGGACTCTGTCTGAGCCACGCCCCCACCGTCTGAGCCACACCCCACACCCCATCTGAGCCACGCCCCCACACCCCATCTGAGCCACGCCCCCACACCCCATCTGAGCCACACCCCCACACCACCATCTGAGCCATGCCCCCACATCACCATCTGAGCCACGCCCCCACACCCCCATCTGAGCCACGCCCCCACACCATCTGAGCCACGCCCCCACACCTCCCAGGTCTACCACCTGCTCTTTGGTCCCTCGTCTGCCCTGGATTCACAGTCCGGCCTCCACAAGGGTCAGGAGCCCTGGAGCCACCTAGGGAGCAATCCCCTGTTCCGGATGGAGGTTAGGGCATCCATGTGTGGGATGGGACTGGAGTGCTGCCTGCCTCTGGGGGTGCTTCTGCTCCGTGGGTGAGGAAAGGGCCCCCTTAGTGACTTGGAGCTCCTCCTGGGAGAGGGGGAGGGTCCCAGGGGTCTATGGCAGGCACAAGGGGTAGAGGCATGTCGTAGGACCCAGGCAGCCCCAGAGCCAGCCGGTGGGTGGGGTAGGTTGAAGCCTGAGGCCCTGGTGGTTGGGTACAAAGTCCTTGCTGTGTCTCCACTGATCCCTGTGCCCACCCCAGGAGCTGCTGCTGGCTCCTGCCCTCCTGGAACAGCTCACCTGCACGCCAGGCTCCGGGAAGCTGGGCCGAATCCTCACTGTGCCTGAGAGTCAGAAGGGGGCCCTGCAGGGCTACCAGGATGCTGTCTGCAGTGGGCAGGCTGCTGCACGTGCCAGGCGCTTCTCTGGGCTAGCCGATGAGCTCCGGAACCAGCTGGACATGGCCAAGGTCTCCCAGCAGGTGAGGCCCTGCCTGCCCACTGCCCGCTGCTTGCTGCCTGAGTTGAAAGAGGGGCTGGGGCTGCTTGGAGAGCTCGGGGCTCCTGGGCCCAGGCTGTGCGTGGGATGCTGCCTGTGGGTGGGTATCTAATGGCGCCATGGCTGGTGCCCCACCCCTGCTCACCATCCCAGCTCCTGTCCTGGGCTCCCGTTACCCAGGCTACAGACTCCCTCCCAGCATCCCCAGCTTGTGCCTCCCAGCTGCTGTCTCCCCGCTCCGCACCTGACCTATCACCCACCTGCAGTCCGTCTCACTCCTCACTGCCCACATGCCTGTTTCCTCTCAGCTGGGCCTGGATGCCCCCAACGGCTCAGACTCCCCGCCACAGGCGCCATCCCCACGGAGGCTGCAGGCGCTTCTGGGGGACCTGCTGGATGCCCAGAAAGTTCTGCAGGATGTGGATGTCCTGTCGGCCCTGGCCCTGCTACTGCCCCAGGGTGCCTGCACTGGCCGGACCCCCGGACCCCCAGCCAGTGGTGCGGGTGGGGTGGCCAATGGCACTGGGGCAGGGACAGTCGTGGGCCCCAACGCCACCGCTGAGGAGGGCGCACCCTCTGCTGCAGCACCGGCCTCCCCGGACACGCTGCAGGGCCAGTGCTCAGCCTTCGTGCAGCTCTGGGCCGGCCTGCAGCCCATATTGTGTGGCAACAACCGGTAGGTGGGCGGCAGGGGAATGGGGGTGAGGAGGACAGCCAGGGGCAGGGCCTGAGCCCTGACTCTAGGCCCTGGCTCTGGAGGTCTCATTTGGCGCCCTGCCCTGTGCGCCGAAGTCCCGCCCCATCCCGATGCCCCTCCCACTCTCGCGGCCCCGCCCCCTAATGACCTGGCCCTGCCTCCTGTCCCCCGCCCCAGCACCATTGAGCCCGAGGCGCTGCGGCGGGGCAACATGAGCTCCCTGGGCTTCACGAGCAAGGAGCAGCGGAACCTGGGCCTCCTCGTGCACCTCATGACCAGCAACCCCAAAATCCTGTACGCGCCTGCGGGCTCTGAGGTCGACCGCGTCATCCTCAAGGTGCGCGGGTCTAGGACACTTGACAGGCAGAGTGGGAGGGGGTCTCTGCAGGCTTGGGACCCCTGGGCAGAGGGGGTCGGCAGAACTGACATGGGAGGGGTACCAGGGTGCAGCTTCGGGTACACAGGCTCTGCAGGTGGGGGACCAGAGGGCCGCTTTTCCTTTAGGGAGCTCCAGGGGCTGCTGTGGGAAGGCACTGGAGAGTCTGCTCTGGCAGGGTCCCCCGGCTGGGTGTGGCCGGTCCAGGGCAGTGCTGGTGGAGGACGGGTGTGTCCGGAGACCTTCCAGAGTGTTCCGTGGGCGGGCAGCTGGGTAGTTTGCGTTCTGGGTGAGAGGTCCTGTCTGGAACAAGCAGAGGCCAGGGCTGGACATTGGCCTGGGAGGGGAGGGCCTGTGGACGAGGCCGATCCTGGGTGTAGAGGAGGGTCCCTAGGATAAGGGTGGGAGAAATGAGGGTGGAGCATGGGGTGCTTAAGGGACACATGGAGAGAGGTCCAGCAAAGGAGCTGGTGGGCACAGCTGGGCAGTTGGGGGTCCAGAGGCCATGGTGCCCTGGGAGTGGAGGGCAAAGCAGGTTTCACGTGCGCGCTGCAGAAAGGTGTGGAGAGCCCGGGCGTGGGACTCATGCTTGAAATCCCAGCACTTTGGGAGGCCATGGTGGGAGGATCGCTTGAGCTCAGGAGTTTGAGACAAGCCTGAGCAACATAGTGGAACCCCATCTCTACCAAAAATAAGTTAGCCAGGTGTGGTGGTGGGCACCTGTAATCCTAGGTACTTGGAGGGCTGAGGCGGGAGGATCCCTTGAGCCTGGGAGGTGGAGGCTGCAGTGAGCCGGGACTGCACCACTGCACTCCAGCATGGGTGACTGAGACCCTGTCTCAGGGGAAAAAAAAAAAAAGGTGGGGAGGGTTGGTTGTTGGCAACAGGTCAGCCACTGGGGAGGTGAGTGGGGTGAGAGCCCCCAAGCCAGCGGGGGTCCGTTAGGAAACTCCATGCCCCTGCCTCACCCTCTGCAGGCCAATGAGACTTTTGCCTTTGTGGGCAACGTGACTCACTATGCCCAGGTCTGGCTCAACATCTCGGCCGAGATTCGCAGCTTCCTGGAGCAGGGCAGGCTGCAGCAACACCTGCACTGGCTACAGCAGGTGCCAAGGGTGCCCGCGAGGGAGGCAGCCGCAGGTGGCGCGGGGAGCCCCTCTCTGCCCGGCTCAGCAGGCCTGCAGGCCCCCCTCTGAGCTGCTCCTCTACCCTTAGTACGTAGCGGAGCTGCGGCTGCACCCTGAGGCACTGAACCTGTCGCTGGATGAGCTGCCGCCGGCCCTGAGACAGGACAACTTCTCGCTGCCCAGTGGCATGGCCCTCCTGCAGCAGCTGGATACCATTGACAATGCGGCCTGCGGCTGGATCCAGTTCATGTCCAAGGTGAGGTGGGGCCGCCAAGCCAACCCCCATACCCCCTGCCTCGTGCATGCCCAGGTGGGCTCCAGCGATGCCCCTCCCCCTAGGTGAGCGTGGACATCTTCAAGGGCTTCCCCGACGAGGAGAGCATTGTCAACTACACGCTCAACCAGGCCTACCAGGACAACGTCACTGTGTTTGCCAGTGAGCTGCCCTCCCCGCTCCGCCGCAGCCCCCCACAGACCTCTTCCTCCCCAGCCCAGCCCCACTTGTCCCCCTGTGCCCTCCCACTCCTTGGTCCCGCCCTGGCCTTGGCCCATACCCATCCCCACATTCCCATTCCACACCCTCCAGACCAACTTACAAAAGTACAAGAGACCACAACCCCCACACCCGCCCACCTCCCTAGGTCCTCCCCACTTCATATGGCCACCTTTTTACCCTGGGGGCACCACCCCAGCCCTGCTCCCACCCTTTCCCTGGCACCCTCCATGGTGCCCCGGCCCCCACGCCTTGCCCCCCGTGCCTTGGCCCCCACCCACCCTGCCCCGCCCTACATCTTGGCCTCCGCCCCAACCTCCCGGCCCCAGGTGTGATCTTCCAGACCCGGAAGGACGGCTCGCTCCCGCCACACGTGCACTATAAGATCCGCCAGAACTCCAGCTTCACCGAGAAAACCAACGAGATCCGCCGCGCCTACTGGCGGCCTGGGCCCAATACTGGCGGCCGCTTCTACTTCCTCTACGGCTTCGTCTGGATCCAGGGTGAGGGGCGGGCCCGGAAGACCGGCCTCAGGATTCATGGGGGAGGACAGGTGGGACGACAGGAGGGCCTGCCCGGCACCTGATGGCGGCCCCTACCCACAGACATGATGGAACGCGCCATCATCGACACCTTTGTGGGGCACGACGTGGTGGAGCCGGGCAGCTACGTGCAGATGTTCCCCTACCCCTGCTACACGCGCGATGAGTGAGTGCCGGGCGCCCGGGGCTGGGCTGGGGCAGGGGCTGAGTGGCGCCTGAGCCTGGCCTCCCCACAGCTTCCTGTTCGTCATCGAGCACATGATGCCGCTGTGCATGGTGATCTCCTGGGTCTACTCCGTGGCCATGACCATCCAGCACATCGTGGCGGAGAAGGAGCACCGGCTCAAGGAGGTGCGGCGGGCCGGGACCCTCCCTGGAGGCGCGGGCTGGCAGGGAGGGGCGGCGTCCTCCCCGGGGCCTGCCCCAAGCCCCTGGCCCACCCGCAGGTGATGAAGACCATGGGCCTGAACAACGCGGTGCACTGGGTGGCCTGGTTCATCACCGGCTTTGTGCAGCTGTCCATCTCCGTGACAGCGCTCACCGCCATCCTGAAGTACGGCCAGGTGCTCATGCACAGCCACGTGGTCATCATCTGGCTCTTCCTGGCCGTCTATGCCGTGGCCACCATCATGTTCTGGTGAGCACGGGCCATGGTGGCAGGGACCTGGGGCAGGCACTGGCCCAGCAAGCTCACCCCACACCCTCTCGGAGCCCCCTGGACCCTGGCAGAGGCTTGCCCAGGAGACCGGGAGTGTGGGTGGCTGACGGCGCGCATGGCCCCTGCCCATCCAGTTTCCTGGTGTCCGTGCTGTACTCCAAGGCCAAGCTGGCCTCTGCCTGCGGCGGCATCATCTACTTCCTGAGCTACGTGCCCTATATGTATGTGGCAATCCGAGAGGAGGTGGCGCATGATAAGATCACGGCCTTCGAGAAGTGCATCGCGGTGAGAGTCGCGGGCAGGCGGGCGGCTGGGTTGCCTGGCCACCCCACGCGCTGACACCACTGCCTCCTCAGTCCCTCATGTCCACAACGGCCTTTGGCCTGGGCTCCAAGTACTTCGCGCTGTACGAGGTGGCTGGCGTGGGCATCCAGTGGCACACCTTCAGCCAGTCCCCAGTGGAGGGGGATGACTTCAACCTGCTCCTGGCTGTCACCATGCTGATGGTGGACGCCGTGGTCTACGGCATCCTCACATGGTACATCGAGGCTGTGCACCCAGGTACTGGCCAGCCCTTGGAGGGCAGGGGAGAGGCGGGGTCCCCAGCCAGGGTTGGGGACCAGCGCTCTGGGTCCACTCCTGGACGCAGCACGGGTGGCTCCCTGGGTGGGCACATGGCCCACGTGGTGGATGGTCACCCCAGGCCCTAGGTCAGCCTCCCCTCCCCTCCCCGACCCCCAGGCATGTACGGGCTGCCCCGGCCCTGGTACTTCCCACTGCAGAAGTCCTACTGGCTGGGCAGTGGGCGGACAGAAGCCTGGGAGTGGAGCTGGCCGTGGGCACGCACCCCCCGCCTCAGTGTCATGGAGGAGGACCAGGCCTGTGCCATGGAGAGTCGGCGCTTTGGTGAGGCTGGCGCCAGAATGGTGGCATGGGTGGGCGCTGGGTTCGGAGTACTGGGTGGCCTTGGTGCCGCCCCTACCCTGCTGATCCACAGCCCTGGTGCAGAGGAGACACGTGGCATGGAGGAGGAGCCCACTCACCTGCCTCTGGTAGTCTGCGTGGACAAACTGACCAAGGTCTACAAGGATGACAAGAAGCTGGCCCTGAACAAGCTGAGCCTGAACCTCTACGAGAACCAAGTGGTCTCCTTCCTGGGCCACAACGGGGCGGGCAAGACCACCACCATGTGAGTGTTCAGAGGGGCGAGGCCGTGGGCATCTGCTGACCAGAGCAGGAGTCCTAGTCAGGGGCAGAGTGGGGCCCCTGCAGAGGGCATGGGGTCATGACCCCGCCCACCTACCCAGGTCCATCCTGACCGGCCTGTTCCCTCCGACGTCGGGTTCCGCCACCATCTATGGGCACGACATCCGCACGGAGATGGATGAGATCCGCAAGAACCTGGGCATGTGCCCGCAGCACAACGTGCTGTTTGACCGGCTCACGGTGGAGGAGCACCTCTGGTTCTACTCACGGCTCAAAAGCATGGCCCAGGAGGAGATCCGCAGAGAGATGGACAAGTGGGTGGGCACAGGGTGGGGCGGAGCGGGTGGGGAGAGGCCCTGGGGCTGTGCATAGCCCCAGCCCCATGCCACACCTCCCTGTCCCAGGATGATCGAGGACCTGGAGCTCTCCAACAAGCGGCACTCGCTGGTGCAGACACTGTCGGGTGGCATGAAGCGCAAGCTGTCTGTGGCCATCGCCTTTGTGGGCGGCTCTCGCGCCATCATCCTGGACGAGCCCACGGCGGGCGTGGACCCTTACGCGCGCCGCGCCATCTGGGACCTCATCCTGAAGTACAAGCCGGGTGAGTGGGGTGCCGTGCAGGCAGGGGTGCCGTGCAGGCAGGGGTGCAGACGGTGCCTTCCCTGCCCCCTGACCCTGGGTCTGGCCTTGCCCTAGGCCGCACCATCCTTCTGTCCACCCACCACATGGACGAGGCTGACCTGCTTGGGGACCGCATTGCCATCATCTCCCACGGGAAGCTCAAGTGCTGCGGCTCCCCGCTCTTCCTCAAGGGCACCTATGGTGATGGGTACCGCCTCACGCTGGTCAAGCGGCCTGCCGAGTCGGGGGGCCCCCAAGGTCTGTGTTGAAGCTGCCTGAGCTGGCCTCGGGCCACCCCCTCCCCGGGACCCCCACCTGAGAATCCACGATGGAGGGGCTGGGTCCTCAGCATCACCCACTGGGCCCAGGATACCTGCTGGGGCCTGGCCCACCCTCTCCAACGCCCGTATCTTGGAGAGGCTGGGTCCTCACTATCACCTGCTGGGCCCAGGATGCTTGCTGGGGCCTGGCCCACCCTCTCCAACGCCCATATCTTGGAGAGGCTGGGTCCTCACCGTCACCCACTGGGCCCGGGATACCTGCTGGGGCCTGGCCAGCCCTCTCCAACGCCCGTATCTTGACTCAGTTGGGTTCCCATCGGGGGTCCCTCCCCCTAGCCCCTGAGTGAATTCCTTCCTGCTTCCACATCCCCCACAGAGCCAGGGCTGGCATCCAGCCCCCCAGGTCGCACCCCGCTGAGCAGCTGCTCCGAGCTCCAGGTGTCCCAGTTCATCCGCAAGCACGTGGCCTCCTGCTTGCTGGTCTCAGACACAAGCACGGAGCTCTCCTACATCCTGCCCAGCGAGGCTGCCAAGAAGGGGGCTTTCGAGCGCCTCTTCCAGGTGTGAGGGCCAAAAGCAGGCCAGGGCCTAAGGGTTGGGGGGCAGTTGTAGGCGGTGGAGGTGGACGCACCCCTGCCTGGGCGTCCCTGCCGCAGCCTCCCCCTCCACTGCCCCCACAGCACCTGGAGCGCAGCCTGGACGCGCTGCACCTCAGTAGCTTTGGGCTGATGGACACCACCCTGGAGGAGGTGTTCCTCAAGGTGTCAGAGGAAGATCAGTCGCTGGAGAACAGTGAGGCCGGTGAGGGGCCCGGGCTACTTGCTCAGTCCACCCCACCCACAAGGCCCCAGCTCGGGCCTGTGCTGTCACTCCTGCCTGGTGTCTGGGGGCGCCACCTTGATCCTGGGTGGCATCCCCAGGGTTAGCCTGGGCTCCTGGGTGGGTGGTCATGGTGGCCAGAGGTCCCGGACAGGTGTATGACCCTGGGAACTGGTTAAAGATCGGGCATGGGGGTCCCGGGCAGGCCTAGGGGCCAGTAACTCTGAGCATCCCCTCGGCCCTTCCGCTGCGGCAGATGTGAAGGAGTCCAGGAAGGACATGCTCCCCGGGGCGGAGGGCGCGGTGTCTGGGGAGGGTCACGCCGGCAACCTGGCCCGGTGCTCGGAGCTGGCCCAGTCACAGGCATCGCTGCAGTCAGCATCATCTGTGGGCTCTGCCCGTGGTGACGAGGGAGCTGGCTACACCGACGTCTATGGCGACTACCGCCCCCTGTTTGATAACCCACAGGACCCAGACAACGTCAGCCTGCAAGGTGGGGGTGGCCGGGTGAGGCCGGGGCAGCCGGGGAGGGGGAGCGGGGTTAGAGGGGAGCCGCATGGGGGCAGCCAGTGGGGAGAGGGTAGCGTGCAGCCACCTGCTCAGCCCCTACCTGTCTGCACAGAGGCTGAGGCGGAGGCCCTGTCGAGGGTTGGCCAGGGTAGCCGCAAGCTGGACGGCGGGTGGCTGAAGGTGCGCCAGTTCCACGGGCTGCTGGTCAAACGCTTCCACTGTGCCCGCCGCAATTCCAAGGCACTCTTCTCCCAGATCCTGCTGCCGGCCTTCTTCGTCTGCGTGGCCATGACCGTGGCTCTGTCCGTCCCCGAGATTGGTAGGCCACCAGCTGGGCGGGCGTGCCGGGCTTATGTCCCCCCTTTCCACCGGGAGCCCTGAGGATGCCTTCTCCCAAGCTTCCTGACTCTGGGCCTCACCCCGCACCTGAGGCTGGGCACACGCCGGGGTTCATCCGGGAGTCCTGCCTCTTCGGGGCCCAGATCCCAGGCGTGGATCCTTTGGGGTTGGTGGAAGGGGACCGAGGCCTGGGGGCTGCTGGCCAGTGGGCAGAACCTGCTCAGGCCTCCGTGCTGTCCCTGCCAGGTGACCTGCCTCCACTGGTCCTGTCACCTTCCCAGTACCACAACTACACCCAGCCGCGTGGCAACTTCATCCCCTACGCCAACGAGGAGCGCCGCGAGTACCGGTGAGGCCGCTGGCGGGGGCAGCCTTGGTGGGTGGAGTGGGCGAGGGAGCAGAGACGGGCAGCCCCACCTCACACTGTGGGTGCCCGCAGGCTGCGGCTGTCACCCGACGCCAGCCCCCAGCAGCTCGTGAGCACATTCCGGCTGCCGTCAGGGGTGGGCGCCACCTGCGTGCTCAAGTCTCCGGCCAACGGCTCTCTGGGGCCCACGTTGAACCTGAGCAGCGGGGAGTCGCGCCTGCTGGCGGCTCGGTTCTTCGATAGCATGTGCTTGGAGTCCTTCACGCAGGGGCTGCCGCTGTCCAACTTCGTGCCGCCCCCACCCTCGCCTGCCCCGTCTGATTCCCCAGCGTCCCTGGACGAGGACCCGCAGGCCTGGAACGTCTCGCTGCCACCCACTGCCGGGCCAGGTAGCGGTTCCGGGGGCCGGCTGGGGGGCAGGGGCAGCGAGGGGTCCTTCTCACCGCACCACGCTGTGCCCACAGAAATGTGGACGTCGGCGCCCTCCCTGCCGCACCTGGTACGGGAGCCCGTCCGCTGCACCTGCTCCGCGCAGGGCACCGGCTTCTCCTGCCCCAGCAGTGTGGGCGGGCACCCGCCCCAGATGCGGGTGGTCACAGGCGACATCCTGACCGACATCACCGGCCACAACGTCTCTGAGTACCTGCTCTTCACCTCTGACCGCTTCCGACTGCACCGGTGAGCTGGGTGGGGAGGCTGTGGGCGAGGGCGGCCAGCCACCAGCTACCTGGTCTCAACTCCTGTCCCTCTAGCCTCACTGCCTGCCTAGCCTCACCGCCTCTCCCACCTGCCTGCCCAGGTATGGGGCCATCACCTTTGGCAACGTCCTCAAGTCCATCCCAGCCTCATTTGGCACCAGGGCCCCACCCATGGTGCGGAAGATCGCGGTGCGCAGGGCTGCCCAGGTGAGCAAGGCTGCGGCCCTGGGGCTTCGCGGTGTGTAGCGCCGCCTGAGGTCTGCAGAGACCCACGGGGCTCCTGGGGCCTTTGTCCTCTTCGTGCTGCAGGTTTTCTACAACAACAAGGGCTATCACAGCATGCCCACCTACCTCAACAGCCTCAACAACGCCATCCTGCGTGCCAACCTGCCCAAGAGCAAGGGCAACCCGGCAGCTTACGGTGAGCTGGTGCAGGCGGGGCTGGGCGGGGAGGAGCTGGGGCTGGGCCGGATGGCGCAGAGGCCTGAAGCTGCCGCCCCCACCCCGCCGTGTGCAGGCATCACCGTCACCAACCATCCCATGAACAAGACCAGTGCCAGCCTCTCCCTGGACTACCTGTAAGTGTGGCCAGTGGGGATGAGGCGGGGCAGGTGGGCGCTGCAGCCCGGCCGTGAGGACTGAGGGCTTCCTTGCTCCAGGCTACAGGGCACGGATGTCGTCATCGCCATCTTCATCATCGTGGCCATGTCGTTCGTGCCGGCCAGCTTCGTCGTCTTCCTCGTGGCCGAGAAGTCCACCAAGGCGAAGCACTTGCAGTTTGTCAGCGGCTGCAACCCCGTCATCTACTGGCTGGCGAACTACGTGTGGGACATGGTGCGCCCGGCGTGGCCACAGGGGTGCCCCGGCCCTTCTCATCCCCCATCCCCGCCCTGCCCCGGGTCTCTCACCAGCCACCCCCACCCCTGCAGCTCAACTACCTGGTCCCCGCTACCTGCTGCGTCATCATCCTGTTTGTGTTCGACTTGCCGGCCTACACATCGCCCACCAACTTTCCTGCTGTCCTCTCCCTCTTCCTGCTCTATGGGTAAGGGGGAGCGGATGAGGGAGTGGCCTTAGGTGGGGCCGGGGCTGCCTGGTGACCACTGCCCGCCACCTGCCCACAGGTGGTCCATCACGCCCATCATGTACCCGGCCTCCTTCTGGTTTGAGGTCCCCAGCTCGGCCTACGTGTTCCTCATTGTCATCAATCTCTTCATCGGCATCACTGCCACGGTGGCGACCTTCCTGCTACAGCTCTTCGAGCACGACAAGGTGGGGTGGCGGCGACATGGCGGGGGCGGCGGGCCCTGCAGAGGCTGTGCGCCTGACCCCGACCACCCCGCAGGACCTGAAGGTTGTCAACAGTTACCTGAAAAGCTGCTTCCTCATTTTCCCCAACTACAATCTGGGCCACGGGCTCATGGAGATGGCCTACAACGAGTACATCAATGAGTACTACGCCAAGATTGGTGAGGGGGCCCGTGGGGTGGGTGAGGCGGTTGGGGCCCCTCAAGGCCTAGAGCACAGGCCCTGAGCTGGCTCCCCACAGGCCAGTTTGACAAGATGAAGTCCCCATTCGAATGGGACATTGTCACCCGCGGGCTGGTGGCCATGGCGGTCGAGGGCGTCGTGGGCTTCCTCCTGACCATCATGTGCCAGTACAACTTCCTGCGGCGGCCACAGTGAGCGGGGCGCATAGCGGCGGTGGGGGCAGGGGGCGGGGCGGGAGCAGGGATGGGGTCAGGGAGTGGGGCAGGGTGGGGGCAGGGATGGGGCAGGAGGGGGTGGGGCAGGGGACGGGAAAGGAGCCAGAGGACGTGAGACTGGTGGCGGGGAGGGACAGTGCGGGTGGCGAGCTGCTGGACGCTGTCCATCCTGTCCCCCAAGGCGCATGCCTGTGTCTACCAAGCCTGTGGAGGATGATGTGGACGTGGCTAGCGAGCGGCAGCGAGTGCTCCGGGGAGACGCCGACAACGACATGGTCAAGATTGAGAACCTGACCAAGGTGGGCTCTGAGCGTTTGGGGTGGGGCCTGGGTGGGGTGGGCCAGGGCCAGGGCCAGGGGGGTGGGGCCCCAGCAGTGGAGGTGGAGCCTGGGTGGGCATGGCCCTGAGCTCTGGGGGTGGGGCCTGCATGGGGTGGGGCCATGGGGCATGTGGGCAGGTCCCTGCGCTCTGGAGGTGGGGCAGGGCCTGGGTGGGGTGGGGCCAGAGGGGCAGGGTGGGAGCAGGATGGGGTTGAGGGCGTTGCACCCCACGCCCCCATGCCCCGCTGAGCGGGCAAGCTCCTGGCCAGGTCTACAAGTCCCGGAAGATTGGCCGCATCCTGGCCGTTGACCGCCTGTGCCTGGGTGTGCGTCCTGGCGAGTGCTTCGGGCTTCTGGGCGTCAACGGTGCGGGCAAGACCAGCACCTTCAAGATGCTGACCGGCGACGAGAGCACGACGGGGGGCGAGGCCTTCGTCAACGGACACAGGTGCGGCGGGAGCCCTGGGTGGGCGGGGCCGCCGCGTCCCCACGCGCTGACAGCCGCCGTGTCCCCAGCGTGCTGAAGGAGCTGCTCCAGGTGCAACAGAGCCTCGGCTACTGCCCTCAGTGCGACGCGCTGTTCGATGAGCTCACGGCCCGGGAGCACCTGCAGCTGTACACGCGGCTGCGTGGGATCTCCTGGAAGGATGAGGCCCGGGTGAGGATCTGCAGGGCGGGGCAGGGAGCCAGCGCGCTGGGCGGCCCTGCCTGCGCTGACATCTGCGTTCCCCGGCCAGGTGGTGAAGTGGGCTCTGGAGAAGCTGGAGCTGACCAAGTACGCAGACAAGCCGGCCGGCACCTACAGCGGCGGCAACAAGCGGAAGCTCTCCACGGCCATCGCCCTCATTGGGTACCCAGCCTTCATCTTCCTGGTAAGCCCTGGGTGGGGTGGGGGGCGGCTGCCTGGCCTTTGACTTCCTGGTGAGCACGGGCAGGGGCAGCGTTCAGGCCGGGGTGTGTGGGCCTGGCAGCGGCTGAGCCTGCCACCCATCTCCAGGACGAGCCCACCACAGGCATGGACCCCAAGGCCCGGCGCTTCCTCTGGAACCTCATCCTCGACCTCATCAAGACAGGGCGTTCGGTGGTGCTGACATCACACAGGTGAGGGCGCCCCCACCCTCCCCCCGTGCCCCCACCCCGCAGCACCCCTTCTGGTGCCAGCCTGTGTGTGTCCCGCAGCATGGAGGAGTGTGAGGCGTTGTGCACGCGGTTGGCCATCATGGTGAACGGTCGCCTGCGGTGCCTGGGCAGCATCCAGCACCTGAAGAACCGGTGAGCCAGGGCGGGGCCAGGGGCGGGCTGGGGCGGGCCCGGGGTGGGACCAGGCAGTGGGGCCCGGAGTGGGGGCGGCTGCAGGGCTGTGGGGCCATGGGAGCTGGGGGGACTGGGGTTGTGGGGACTGGGGCAGTGGGGCCAGGGGAGGGGCCTGGAAGACTGTGGGCGCTGTAGGACTGGGGGGCTGTGGGAGGCTATGGGGCTTCCTGGGGTGCCTGTGGGGCTGGGAGGCTGGGGGGCTGGGGCTCTGGCTGGGCGGCACAGGGGGGCTGGGGCTCTGGCCGGGCGGCGCAGGGCTCTGAGCCATGGGCCTGTCCCGCCAGGTTTGGAGATGGCTACATGATCACAGTGCGGACCAAGAGCAGCCAGAGCGTGAAGGACGTGGTGCGGTTCTTCAACCGCAGCTTCCCAGAAGCTATGCTCAAGGTGGGTGGTCCCAGGCAGGGTCGCGGAGCAGGTGCTGCGGGGTGGGGGTGCTGCCAGCGGCCTCTGACCTCCACCCCTGCAGGAGCGGCACCACACAAAGGTGCAGTACCAGCTCAAGTCGGAGCACATCTCGCTGGCCCAGGTCTTCAGCAAGATGGAGCAGGTGTCTGGCGTGCTGGGCATCGAGGACTACTCGGTCAGCCAGACCACACTGGACAACGTGAGTGCCCTGAGGGCACTGCGCACCACACCTACCCCTCCTCCCACCTGCCCTGCCCCCCTCCGCCCAGCACCTCCCCATCCCCCTACCCCAGACCCGCCCCCTCCCCACACGCCTGCCCCACCCACCAGGTATTCGTGAACTTCGCCAAGAAGCAGAGCGACAACCTGGAGCAGCAGGAGACGGAGCCGCCGTCCGCACTGCAGTCCCCTCTTGGCTGCTTGCTCAGCCTGCTCCGGCCCCGGCCTGCCCCCACGGAGCTCCGGGCACTTGTGGCAGATGAGCCTGAGGACCTGGACACGGAGGACGAGGGCCTCATCAGCTTCGAGGAGGAGCGGGTGAGCAGGCTGCCCTCACGGCTGCCCAGGGCTCTGCCCACCGCACCTAGGCCGCCTGGCGGCTCCAGCCCCGGGTAGGGTAGGGGGAGAAGTGGCCCCAGGATGCTTGCTGTCCGGAGGTCAAGGGGGCAGAGTGGGCAAGGGAGACTTGCAGACAGGCCTGGAGAGACCAAACGCAGGGCCCAGACTTGCTGGAATCTTTGAGGGGCACAGAGCCAGGATGGGGCAGAGGGGGCCAGAGCCCGGGAACAGGGGACTGATGTAGAGTCAGTGACCCCCAGACTCGGCAGACAGAGGCCCGGGAGAGCCCAGACACAGAGGGAGCTCGTGGGGAGACCCTGCGTCCAGGCCCAGCCTGCAGGAGAGCCAGGGCAGGCCAGCACAAGTGTCCCCAGCCCCACAAGGGGGTGGCACAGGACACCCCCTAAGCCTGATCTCCCCTGTGCACAGGCCCAGCTGTCCTTCAACACAGACACGCTCTGCTGACCACTCAGAGCTGGGCCAGGGAGGATACGCTCCGCTGACCGCTCAGAGCTGTACCAGGGACTCGACCGTGGGGACAGATGTCCCCCAGTGCCTGCCAGGCCCTGGAGTGGAGATTGAGGACCAAGGGGCTTCTGGCCCTCCAGCCCCCGTACTCGGCCAAGCCCTGTGGTCACTGCGGCTGCCGCCCCCAATTGTGCCAAAGGCTGACCCGGCCCGGGCTGCGCACACCCACGCCCTGCTTTGCCTTAAAGCCTCATCATCTGCTCAGCCCCTCGCCCCTTCCTAGCTCTGCTCACCGCCCAAGGCGACACCGGCTGGACCAGGCACTGCCGGCCTTTCTCCTGCCCAGCCTTGGAACCAGCTTTTTTTTCCTACAATGAAGGCTGACGCTGAGGGTGGACTGTGGACGGGGCTGGGTCAGTCGCGTATTTATTTTGCTTTGAGAAGAGGCTCCTCTGGCCCTGCTCTCCTGCAGGGAGGTGGCTGTCCCGCGGGAAGCCATCAGCTTGGGCCAGCTGGCAGGCGGCAGGAATGGAGAAGCTGGCCTTGCTGACCAGGCGAGGGCCAGAACCCCCCCTACCCCCAGCTGCTGTCGCTCTCCCACCCAGCTTGGCCCCCTGCCCGCCCACCTGCCTGGAAGCCGGGCCTGTACATAACGCACAGATGTTTGTTTTCAATAAATAAACAAAACGCCTGAGGGCCTGTGTGTGTGAGGTGGGAGGGGCGGGGAAGATGGGCCCATCGGGTGGGTTAGTGCTCCAGAAGGCCCTGCCCCTCAGGCACAGGTGCTGGTGGGGGTGGCCGGGTCGGCCTGGAGGAGGGAAACTGAGGCAGGGTGGTTCACCATGGTTCACTGTCCTCCCCCATCCCACCCTCAGGGATTGCTCCTGGCCCCCTTCCCCTTAGCCTTCATCTTCCCATCCACCCGCCCCCTCTAAGCCTCCTTCAGCCCTTGCTGCCCATGTGGGGCCTGCAGTGGCCTGGGCTGGGCTGTCTGCATGTCATGGAAGGGACAGGGAGGGCTTCCAGGAGGAGGTGACCTCCAGGAGGAGACTGAAGTCTGTGAAGATTACTTAAGGGAAGGGCATCCTAGCCACAGGGCAGGGCACAGGCCGAAGCCCCAGGGAGGCAGGACCCAGAAACTTTGAGGCTCATCAGCAGTGGAGCCTGGTGCACCGTGGGCAGGGGATGGGGGAGGGGCATGAATGGCCCCCAGAGCTCATGCCCCGTGATCTGGGCCAAGGTCAGACTCTTGCCTTAGGCCGTTTCAAGGCTCCTCAGGAGGGTGGAGGGTGGACTCAGGTGAGGGATGGTGCCACATGGGGGACAACAGGGGAGGGTCCCATGGGCTTGAGGGCACTGGCAGGCCTGGGTGGGCTGGGCTGACAAATCCACTTGGGTTCCTATGAGACGCTCGCCGTGGCCACCTGAGGGACAGTGGGATGGGCGTGCTGGCATCCCTGAGAGGCTGGGTCACTGGGGTGAAGCTGTCCTGGGCCCTGGGGGCAGCTAACTCTGGAAGAACCGGGAGGAACACCCACTTACTGGAGGGGCTGGTGTGGGTTTGGTGGTCAACCAAGGGAAATGTGTGGGGGAGCCATCAGAAGGCAGGCCCCTCAGGGCTTCAGGTCGCAGCAGCCTGCGTCCTACAACTGTAGGGGCTGAATCACGGCAGGAAGAAGTCGAGAAAGGAACATGGCCCAGTCGAGGCCCAGGGAGACCCAGCGCACAGGACGAGGCCAGGCTGGACCCGGACAGCCGCCCACAGACTGACACAGTTCACGGGGGCGTCATCTCTAGAGGCTTTATTTGTGATGATGTGTAATGCAGTGTTGAAAGCAAACACACCCCCCAGCATCTTCCTCAGAACAGTTTCTGCTGGGCACAGTGGCTCACACCTGTAATCCCAGCACTTTGGGAGGCCGAGGCGGGTGGATCACCCGAGGTCAGGAGTTCGAGACCAGTCTGGCCAACATGGTGAAACCCCATCTCTACTAAAACTACAAAAATTAGCCGGTTGTGGTGGCGGGCACCTGTATTTCCAGGTGCTTGGGAGGCTGAGGCAGGAGAATCACTTGAACCTGGCAGGTAGAGGCTGCAGTGAGCCAAGATTGTACCATTGCACTCCAGCCTAGATGACAGAGTGAGACTCCGTCTCAAAACAACAGTAAAAAGAACATTTTAAACTTTCAGAAAAGTTGCGAGAATAACTGAGCGCACGTCTTCAGCCAACGCGCCTGAGAAAATCTTGCCACACACGCTGTCACTCTACCCGCTTTTGTGCTGCCCTACGTAAAAGCAAGCAGCAGCTGCTGCAACCCGCCAGCCCCAGGCCCTGCAGCCTCCTTCCCCCAAGAGCCAGGGTAGCCCAGAGTTAACAAGGGATACAGCAAGGCTTTTGAGGGCCCTGGTAGCCCAGGCATGCCCTTTATTTTTATTTATTATTATTATTTTTTTGAGACAGAGTCTCGCTCTGTTGCCCAGGCTGGAGTGGAGTGTGATCTCGCCTCACTGCAAGCTCCGCTTCCTGGGTTCACGCCATTCTCCTGCCTCAGCCTCCCGAGTAGCTGGGACTACAGGCGCCCGCCGTCGCGCCCGGCTCTTTTCTTTTTTTTTTTTTTTTTGAGATGAGTCCTCGCGCTGCGCCCAGGCTGGAGTGCAAGTGGCCAGACTCTCAGCTCACTGCAACGCTCTGCTCCCGGTTACGCCAGTCCTCCTGCCTCAGCCTCGAGTAGCGACTCAGCGCGCCACCCTCGCCCGGCATAGTTTTTTCTGTATTCTTTTAGTAGAGACGGGGTTTCAAGCGTGCTTAGCCAGGATGTCTCGATCCCTGACCTCGTGATCGCACCTCCTCGGCTCCAAAGCGGGATTACAGCCATGAGCCCCGCCGACCCGGCCCCTGTTTCTTTTTTGTTTTATTTATGATTTTTTTTTAGGAAAGCGATCTTGCTCTGTCGCGCGAGGCTGGCAGTGCAGGCGCAACCTCAGCCTCACTGCACCCTCCACCTCCCCAGGTTCTAAGCGATCTCCTGCCTCCAGCCTCCGAGTAGCCTGAATTACAGGCATTCGACCACAATCCGACTAATTTTGCATTTGTCCATAGAGATGGGTTCCTCCATTTGGGTCAAGCTGGTCCTTGAACTGCCCGACTCAAGGGATCCACCACCTCGCCTTCTGCCAAAGTCTGGGCATTTAACACAGTGTGACCAACACGCCCGGTCTGTTCTTCTTTCTTTCTTTTTTTGAGACAGTTCACTCTGTCAAGCCGGCAGCGCCTGGATGGCCAATGCGCGCGATCGTCAGCTCACTGCAACCTCCGCCTCCCGATTCCTCAGCGATTCTCCCTGCTCCAGGCCTCCCGAGTAGCTGGATTACACATGTGGCCACGCCACATCCCGACTAATTGTGCATTTTAAATCAGTAGAAGATAGGGTTTGCCCCATTGTTGGTCAGCTGGGTCTTGAACTCCCGACCCAGGGA